TCCACGCAGGACGGAACCACTCTTTGAGCCTAGCACCGTCACGAGGACGGCGCACCTCGTCTCTTCCAGCAACGACAAACTGCCTCCTGGAGCCGGTATGGACGAGGTAGTAGGTAATAGACAGGTAGGCACCTTGACAACATTCACATCAGGCGCAGCCACACCGGGGACATTAAACAACTTCTACTTTTGAAATGCGAGATTACTCAGCACGTGGGCAAACGTACCACATACGCCACCTTATTGGTCTGGATTACTAAATCGTATGGGAGCGTACACATCTTGCTTCTATTCCGCGTGCAGTAGTGCCTTCTCCTGCACCTGAGCAACCGGCATTTTGAACAGTCCACGGAATTCGCCTTGATTAAATTTGCCTTGGATTCGCAACACCTGAACTCAACATGAGTTTGTCATAAACTCACCTTCTTCATGTTCTGGTAATGTTATTTTCGGTTTGCCCGTGTGCCGTTTCCCTGCATTAAGTTGGGCGTACAAAAGCGGCACGAGTATCCTCGTCGAATTTTTTCGGGATACATATATACATGGATTGGCGTCATCCGTGTTTAATGGCAGTTCGAATACAACATATGCACATGCGTTTCCAGGGACTTAAGTATGAACTGCGACAAAACTGGATAGAAACACATTAGACCTCATGAACATTAGTACTACACATGTGTATGGGTTTCATTTGGAGGTCAGGCTAACAGTTACTTGCACCGGCATGAGAATAAGTACCCAATACAAACTGTTGGTGTTCACCACTTACGGCCTCCTTGGCACGACAGCTCCTACAGTACCACATCAACTAAGTCCCACTGCCCACTGTCAAACATGCGGTTTTCCAAACAGTGTTCGCACTGCATTGCAAATGTCCAAGACGTAGCATGGCTGTCATCCAAATACCCATCCGTTTGTACATACCCTTGTGTATCCTGCTGTGGCCATAGGCTATTTGGTAACGATCTGAATCGCACCTCTCGGGTGCAGCCATTCGGTGCTCCTAAAATGAACAGTTGTCTCTATGCGCCGATTCCTTTCCGATATAACATACTAAAACACTGACGTACCATTACCGTTGGGCTTAACCTTTTTCTTAGTCTATCCAGAAGATTGACCTCGTCTAATACAACTTCTAGTAGGTGCCTCTTAGACAGGTGCAATAATGCTACTGCATTGCACCAAGTCCGTAGTTAATCATTCTAGATAGCAATTGTACCCAAGCGATACTTACATTAGCGATGGAATAAGGATGACACACAAAGAAGATGACGGACCGTGAGTAGGCAACTGTGCAGGTTTGCAGGGAAATGATGCGCTGGAGTCAACTGATTTTCATAAGCTCAGCTAACTTAAAGTTGTCGGATGAAGAACGGGAATTACAACTCTAATCATTCTAACAGATTTAATGTGAAACTTAGCGTGACACATTGACATTAGCATATTAATCACTAGTCAGTTACTTGCCGGGATTGTTCACTTTCCACCGATGTTCCGGAGCGATTTATCTTTGAATGCATGATCCAACTTGAATATGTCCATCAGATTGCCAATTTTCCACCAAACTAAGGAAGCATTGTTTTGCATACTGTAATAGGTAACGTGTTTGGAGGCTGTGGTAATCCTAAGGTACGGTAAAATAAGATAACATGAGGTAACTCAGTGTAGCCCAACTGGGATGAAGTAGCATGGTATATGCAACATCAAACTTCAGCATAGGGACACTCGTATGTGGGCATTTGTGTTCGGATTCCCAGTAGGGTAAATACAGTGCGCCCGTGTCTTTTCAGAAACTATGGGTGGTTGTCGCTGTGCTGCAACACAATTAGTGCAGTATCAGTGCAAAACTCCTCCCGTCCGATGTTGCGAGCGAACGTGGATTCCGTTCTGACTCACCTCGCTTCATAACGTTAAGCCGGTTTAACTTATACCGTCCCCTCTCACTTGCGTACCACCAAGTGCCATATGTCAGTCCGTGGTGCTCGGTCTAGCAGTCGACCTGTTCGGCATAGTCCCATCAGGGCCTCCTTGATGACTGGCCAGACCGGCTGGGCTAAAGCACACACGGTCGCATGCAATACAGCTCCATGTGGAAGTAGCCGAAGAATTGTAATCCGCTGTTGGATGGTGTTTGCGTGCTGCACGTTTAGTTTCCCGATGCACCAGCTGCCTTTCTTGTGATTGGGCAACGGTAAAGGTGGTGAGATCACGCCAAGTGCGGTGATTTGTTGCCATCTGCTCCCAAACACTTAGGTCAATACTTACTCTGGACAAACTGACCTTGATATTGTCTTGGTAGCGCAAATTTGGTTTACCTGCATTCCGGCCGCTGTGCTCAGTTGCACGTACAGCAGTTGCTTCGGGATTCTCGTTGCTCGATGCTCGAAACTCTTCAAAAGCCAGCCTGCTCTCGATGGATGTGTCCCGCAGGCCCGGTTGTTTATATTGCATACGCGGACGACGTGATCATCGTAGCGCAAAGCAAGGACACACTACAGGAATGACTCCTAACTTTTGCAACGACCCCCAGCTTATTGGTCTTTCCATTAACCAGATGAGAACTAAGACTAAATATCGTCATCGATAGATCCAAGTAGAAAGCTTTGCTAAACACTTCTTCAAGTAGGTTCGATGAATCTTCCATCAGTCCAACCGACGGATTCATTTAAGTTCCTGGATTTGTCTTTTAACTGACACGGCAATCTACCGCCTTTCCCTAGATGAGTTGCGTCAGCAATTCCAGGAAATTTCGCAGGCACCATTAAAACCACATTAACGGATCGAAATTCTCAAGACTTTCCTCATCCCCCGACACATCCACAGCCTCTCGCTGGCAGTAATACATCGAAACGCACTCAAAACGATGGACAAATTAATCAGGGCTAACGTTCGCAAATGGTTAAGATTACCCAAGGATACAGCCGTTGCATTTTTCCATGCATCCATCATTGACCACGGCTTAGGCATTCCTAATCTCTCAACCATGTTGCCATTACTTCGGAAAAAGAGATTGCAGCGACCCCTTTCCAACCCGAATGTCATTCTGAGCCGGCCGATTCGTGACCTCTCTGCCTGTGCGATTCATCTGCTAGCTAATTCGCCACCCATCCTAGGTGGGCAAACTGTGACGGATAAAGCCTTAGCAAAGGAGGCGTGGAAGATTCAGATACTTACTATCCTTGACGGATCCCCTCCACGCCGAGCTTAAACAGATCCAATTGCTCATACATGGCTCCAGCAATCTGCACGCGTCTTCTCGCGCCTATTTATCAAGACAACTCAATAAGACGCAGGCGTTCTTCCCACAAAAGCCAGACGCACCAGAGGCACACCACCGCGTTCCCCATCCGATCTCAATTGCTGGGGTTCATGTGGGGCAACACGGATCAAGCTCTCGCGTGCTCCAATCTTGCAGCGTAACCGATGATGCACGCTGCAAATGACACAATGATATTGCCAACCAAATTGCAACGATGTTACGCCGTCGGGGCGCTACAGTCATCCCAGAACTACGCGTCCCCACGCAAATGACTTACATCAAACCAGATCTATTCATCTGCCGGGACGCCTACTATCTAGGTAATGGATATGGCTGTCTGTGACGCACACACAAAATTGATAAACACGGTTTTGGTGTTCACGCAGCGGCCACCAGAAGCTACGCTCAAGCTGCACTCCCGACAACCTCCTGTGTTGTACATTATCTGCTCGTCAGCAGTGCATCTGTTGTCATTGGGATTCTCGACCTTGGATATTTCCCATCTGTGCATTTCCATTATCCGAGAAACCATACGTGTGTATGATGTTTATCTGCTAGATGTAGTCCACCTAGCGCAATCACTGACAACACAAACACTGACACCTACTGGGCGTGCGGTCCTTGACCGAGTTCCCTGAGCTTTTATTGAGACATTTGCTTAATATTATGTCGGGTCATTTGTCCCACCTTGACAAATGTCTGTACTGCGCACTTCTCGAGCTATACCTGCCTTTACCGAAAATAAATATCCCTCGATTAACCAGTTCTAAGCTAACCTGTTCGACGCCCTTTCATTAGTATCTTGGATTGTGACGCCTGATGATGTAGAACTATGTGCAGATGATATCAAAACAGCAGAAACTTCAAAATAAGATTACGTCAGTCTTCTAATGCAACTGCATTCATTTGCTGTAGAAAGATGTCAAAGCATGCTGAGTAGTGTAGTCTGTGGTGTGAGGGATTTTTCATATACCTTTGGGATAAGAGAATTAAGCGAAGCTTAACTTTCTCCAAACTCTGAAGAAGACACTGCGTTTCGACTTATTATAGTACGGTATGGTTTAACTGTGTTTACTATCCTGTAACAGCTCATGTACTATTTCCGAAACAGGCTATACGTGAAAATAAAGTTCATAATCTGCTACTCACAGCGGGAAAGTATGGTACGCTAGGTTTCTCTATAGAATCGTCTATATGTTGACCACCACTCTACGTCGACCACTTTGGTCCACTAACTTGGGTGGTCAACTTAGAGAGCCTTTACTGTACTCCTCGCTTGTCCTTAGGACAAACTCACCGCACTCGCATATTCGGTTGCTGGGGTTCCCCTCACCTATGCTATATCCTAACGTTCTCGGCTAAACGGACAATCAGGCGTGTACTTTTTGTTCCCACAATCACGCCTCAGGTTTAAGTTCGCCACACTTGCTGCTTTCGAACATCTGAGCGTATTGCTAAGACTTTTTTGTACGATGCTACCTAAGTCGCGTACATCAGTCACGTGTTGCAGGATGTTGGCCTTGTATATTTGATTAATTCATTTGTTTAAATTGCCAAGCGTCATCTTCGTTCATCACGCGTTAAATAGTTCCGTAGGTAACATCGACACCAACGTAGTAGGCTGCCTCTGAATGTGTTTCACATGGTGTGCAACCTATCTACAGCTCCTATTCAGTCATCTGGTCAACTTGATCTCACATTTGTCATGCTCTTAGTTTAATACCCCATCATGCCATTGTAGTGCATCGTGATTTGAAACCGAGCAACGTACTCATTGTCTCCGATGGTTCGGAACACAGAGTTGTGGTAGGCGACTTCGGTCTGTCGCGACCTGTGGACGTTGGATGCCATGAGATCTCCAGCTCATTCGGATCACATGCCTGGGTTCAGCTTAGACAGAAAATTCCAAAACAGTCTGCTAAACTTGATGATACAGAAATTGCGGGGAATCAGTCCTACGGCTGCCACGTTTCCTATTACAAGCTGGATGATTCTGTGTACAATCAAAACAGAGATGTTTATGGTGACCAGGCAAGTTTGGGCATCACGTACGGAACTCTGGGGTGGATGGCTCCCGAATTATGTGATCCTGGTCTGACTCATCTGGTACGTTTCTTGAGCACCCGATTTTTCTTGCAGTAACTTTTTTTCCTTGTTCAAGTTCATCTGCTGCAACCTTAGCTTTGGCTCTGTCGTTGGCGGAGTGTATTGTCCGTCTATGTCTAGACTATATTAGTCGCACGAGGCGGAAGCGTAAAACTTTAGGCTTGTGAGACTAAAATTTACACGCGGTTTTGGCGAAAGAGATAAAACCTAACTTCCTGTTGTTATGGTTCCCTGATTCAAATTAAAGACTGCAGGTAATTTACGAATAGGTTTGCAATCGTAATGAAAGGAACAGATGCATGCATGCGTGGGGCAGCGTGCGGCAGTGGTACAACGAAGCAGTTTACTAATCGGCATTTTGTCAACGTGGAAACACTTGGAGCTTACGGAGTCCGCAACTATTAAGTGTCTAATAATGCTGATGTTCAAAGCACACAATATATAAAATATTACATGCGAATGCTGAAAGAGTTTAAGAATAGGGATACTGTTTCGTTAAATAGACATTACAAAGTTCTGTGGGGACTTTAAACTCCGCCTGCCAGTGCGTCGTTTAGCGGACCTTTACATTGCCCTCCTGTCGTGTGGTAAGCGTTGTATTTTTTTGATTCACTGATTGCCTACACTGTTCATTCGTTTGCTGTACCTGAATTGGCATGGCTGCATTCCGAACTGTCAGTGATTGTTAGTTAGGATCAATTCTTCGGTTGGTCTCTAGCTGGGCGCGGTATTTTACATTCTACTATCCTTCATTACTGGTTGCAGTAAGACTTCATGTTCAGGTTATACTGTATACGTAATTCAGCTTTCCGGTAATCCGCTATTTTTGCTTAATGCTGGTTACTGCGACGCTTACGTTTATTCCATTTTTTGTTTATTGTACTGTTCCTTTTCCTTCGCTACATCGTTCTTACCACTTTCTCTCAGACTTTTGCCGCGGATATTTTCTCCTTTGGTCTTCTTGCTTACTTCCTGTTCACCTGTGGCGGACATCCATTCGACTCCGATCGGTCTGTCGGTCCCATCAGCTCTGATGCAACAAAAGACTGCTGCAACGCGTCCGACGGCTACAAATTCGATAATCTTTCCTCGGCCGTTAGTCAAATGGATGGCGTTAATATGACATGCCGTCCCGCAGTCCACTTTAGTCCGCACCACACACGACAAATGGCAATTGCTGAGAACCGCCAACCATCTCTTCATCTCCTCACGGACAACCAGAGCGACTTGGCCACCGGTGAGCACATGTTACTCATTGAAATTCACCACAATCTTTTCTTGGCTTTTTTCAGTAGTTCGTCTCAATTTCAGTACAACTCTAGTCGATCACATCTTGCGGATTGTCGCTAGGTAATTGACAAACGATTATTTGATCTCTCTCTGTGTCGTCAGTGTTCTGTTGAAATAACCTTCTCATAATAGAGTAACATTCTTTGATAAACAATGCTCTCAGCCTAGATTATGCAACACCGTACCATTTTGAGCTCCTTTCCTAACTAGAACCACATGCGTCTGCACTGCTATGCGCAGTCCCATCTCCGAACCGATGTGGTGCTGGTTTTCGACGAGTTACCTGGCCTATCATCGGCCACCCGGCGGTGCTGTTGTGTCTTCGTAAACATACGACTCCCTTAGTTTCTGCAACACACGAATCTCCACTGTGACTTACTTACCAGATTTCGACGTACTTGTACGCTTCACTTTTTGTATTCTGTCACCTGCTCATCAGATTTCCCATCGATCCAAGTGGTGCTTTCTCCATGTTTGTTCATGCAGGATTTTTGGTTCGACAGCTAATTCAAAGCATGCTCTCATCGGATCCGAATTTACGACCCACAGCCGAAGAGATCAGCGCGAATCCATTGTTTTGGCCTCCTAGGAAAACAATTCAGTTCATCGCTGTAAGTAGAGTTAACTTTCGAGTGTTTACATAGTTTAACACTGATCTGTCCACAATCGAGTTTTCTCGCTGTTGGGGTTTCAACCCTTATAATGTTTACCAGCGCCAGTTGCGCTCTCCACAACGTACTTTTCCAACGCGTATCCCGTTAACCGATCAAGCGGAATTAGGAAGTCATCTATACTCGCACATGGTCCCCCTTACTTGCTGCGGTTTCTCCTGGACCCCAAGTTAATTATTCGTCAGTTATTTGATAAATTTGACCGGTGATTTTAAGTTGCTTCTGTATATTGGTGTCCACATGCTATACTCGTTTTTTGTCATCACTACAGTGCGCATTAACGTTCATCGATGTGAGGTACATTAAGTCGCTTCGCTTTCACCTATTTGAGCAAAGCGCCATAATGTACGCATCATCAGTTTTAACACTTGGTGTCCACGAAGGAGTAGTTTGCGGTACCATTTCTCGGATTCACTTGACTCATCCACCTCTGACGAATGATCCTGCGGGACTTGCGTCGCATCACACGGCTTTATCCACAAAGCCATTACCTAGTTGAAACTTGAATAAATGTATGAAATAGACACGCTGTTTGAAGGCACGATTCTTTTGAAGCTGACCTACATTCCTTTATCAAATGCAACGCTCAAGTGACTTCAGAGGAAGCCTACGTCCCAGTTGTATGCAAGGTGGTAGTTCTGGTTTTTATTAGTGTCGAGCTGTTCTGTGTAGCTTGCTTACTTGGTTATTGGAACGAAGATTACGGCGGTGGGATTCAAACGCGGCAACATCGCTATCGCTACGTCTGAAAATTCCCCAGCTCTACAGGAAATAACAATAATGTGTCAGCTGTATGCCTTAACGCGCTTCGCTGTCCTGCGACCACCACCAGTCGCAAGCGGGTTGGGTATACCACGAGGACACCCACCCCTACGTGGATTTGTACCCGCGCCGCAAGGTTACGAGACAACCTCTCTAGGGTACGAGAAATATGAGCAGATATTGCAAGAGATGTTCCGTCATTCCTTTGTCAGCGTTATAACAGATGAAACAATAGACGACCGCGGGAAAATGGAACAACACATCCTGTCATGCGCACCATTGAAGTCCAACAAGGACAGTCTGCGAGCATACCTTATCGACGCGGTCAATATGGAGGGAGTCGGTTTTGCTACAGTTGGAGGATCCATTCTGCACAGCTTGACAGTGAAGGGTATCCACTTCAGTCGTGTAACGGCCTTTATTTTCGATGGCGCTAGATATATGACAGCATGCTACCGAGATGTCATTAAGTCTGTTTGTGAGGATTCAGTTCACATCAGATGTGTTGCCCATTGCATCAACTTGACTGGAGAGTCCATTCGCGAATTCTCTCCGGAAGTCGACGAATTCGTTGCAAAAATGAAAAGTGCTTTTCGTCTTTCTGGAAGAATGTGGCGTATCTACATCGAATAGCAAACACATGTGGGTGTGGATAACCCAACGGTCATCACCCGCTGGAACTCCTGGCTAGAAGTTGTCGCCCATCGCAATAAGTTTTTCCATCATTACCTAGCCATGTTCCAAGCTGTTCAACATGAGTTTAGAGACTCAGCTGGTGTTTGTGAACTGATGGATATTCTAATCAACGAAACAACACAGAAACCTTTAAGATGGCAACTGCGTTGCATTGCGACCGTTGACAAAAACATCATCCGTCACCTGAAACCTGCCGAATCACAGTCTCCGGTAACCCACAAGTTTTACAACGATCTCTCCTATCTATCCCGAAAACTGCCGCAGAAGCAAACTGGCTGCAATATTTGCAGGTAAAGGGACTCACTTTTGATGCGCCCAACAAAATCCAAACTGACATGCAACTCCGCTTATCCCAAGCTGCCATAAAAACCCAGGAGTTACTGAGATCACAGGCTAGCTGGTCGTTTTTGAAAGCTGTTAAAATGCTCGACCCCCACCAGGTCATCACCTTGTCCAGTGATCCATGCAACTATGCCGATGTTCCAGGCTTACTTTGCTCCCCAGCTCTGGCCGCTGAGTGGTTACTCTATCGAAAGGGGGTGGAAGAATTTGTGTGGAATGCATGAAAGAACTCCACAACTGGTGGACATCACCGGCCGTTATCTATGCATTACTGTGGACTCGGTCAACGCTGAACGTAGATATAAGGTTTACCAAGATGTTGGATCTGACAAGCGTCACAACCTTTCAGGTAGTAACACGAAGCACCTTGTTTGGCTTTATTTTAATTCCTTTGTTTTTAATAATGACTGACGTGTGTATAGTGGATGAACCTACCTTGATTTCTGTTTATTTTCGTTTTCACGGTGAAATCGCGCAATTTAATGTTGACGAAGTTTCCGATTTTGATCTAGGAATAAATGTTTCACCATGGCGGAAAACTGGGATCTTTACTAATTACCTAAGAATGCTAACGTTAAACGCCGTCATGGAAACTGGACAGCGTGGCTTTAAAGAAGACTGTTGCCGATAGGCGTCCAGTGAGTGGTGCGGGAACATAGCTGCAGATGGTATGACGCCAGTGACATTGCGGTTGCTGTCAATTAAAGTGAGAATTATAGGAGGAGGGTTTGCAATAGGGACTGGCAGATGGTGCGATGGTTTATGTGCCTCAGTGATCCATTGAGCTATGCTTTGTGGTGCTTTATGCACCAGATTGGTCAAAGGCCAGACAAACTCAGCCTCCTGGTCCTCCAAGTTGGGGGTTGGAATGAGGGTGGCTCCTTATTCCTTAAAACGGACTCCTTGTAGCGCAACGCCAAACCCGCTGCCTTGCGGTCAGGTTTTCGAACCAAACGCTTTGGTTGAGAAACCTAATCGTTTTTCTGTATTTGCCTGGGCAATCTGACAGCATCCTGCCCACACAGTACACCATGACTTTTCCTTCTAACCATCTCTTGATGCTCTGGCCACCGCAGAGGATAACCAACGGTGCTCTATCTGCTGCATCGATCAGGGACGATAGGGTTTGAATGCCACTGCTCAAGCCTTCCCGCCTTCTTATTCCCTCTCTTACGCTTTTTCTCCCTTATGGTCCCATTCCAACCACCTTTATCCCCCCCCCCACTTTTCAACCCTCCGATTCTTGGCCCTTCCCCAACATGCTTTGCTAGGCGTTTATCTTCTACTTTTAACTCACATGCAAACGCGGAACGTCACTCCTCTCCTGTCGACAAGCCTATGTCCAACCAAGCGGTTCACCCCAGTTTCTCGGCTTCCATTTCAAGCCCTCGATTCTCCTTCAGATTGGCATATCTCAATGTACGCACATTACTACATATCGGTCAACAAGCAGCACTTACCCGAATTTTAGAGACCCCCTCGATCGATATCTACTGATTATCGGAGACCCGCCTGCAAGACTCGAGCTCTGTGCTCACTCTGCAATCCCCTTCAGGTGACACCAGCAGTATTTACTCATTGCGCCTATCCGGTGACGATGCAGTTTCGAGCACTGGCCAAGCTGGTGTTGGCATTGCCCTGAGTCCTCGGGCTAAGGCTGCTTCAATTGCTTGGATTCCAATCAGTAGCCGGATGTGTGCGGTCTGATTGGCTGGCTCGTTCAGAGCTTCGAAGTCGCGCTGCCTACGCATCCACAAACTGTAGCGATGATTCGGTAAAAGATGACTTCTACTGCCAACTGACCGAGCTCCTTCTCCACAGAGGAAGCACGGTCACTGTTGTGCTGGCGAGGGATCTGAACGCACAAGTTGGAAAATTATCCACTAGTGAACTGCATCTTGGCGGCCAACATGGTGTAGGCTCCCGTAATGATAACGGTGAGCGGTTACTTCATTTATTGCGAGCACTAACTTCCGACACAGCACCCGCTGGAGGGTGACTTCTTGCGCACCAGCCTTGGACGCAAATCGATCACATTGCAATTAGTTACCGCTGGAGAGGCTGCATCCAGAACTGTTGCTCGATTTGGAGCACATGTGTGGACACCGATCATGCACTTGTATGTGCTGACATGGGGATGCTTTTTGGCGGACGCCCACGAGGACGTTGTGAGCGCATTGACACCAGCCAACTGACGAAGCTAGCTGTTCTGAACGCCTATCAAAGTACGCTGACATGCGAGTTGAGTAGGCGCTCACTGGAGACAATTGAAGGTCACTGGTCTCATGTTCACCAGACCTTACTGGCAGCACGCAAATCCTCATGTGGTATGTCTAATAGCTAACATGGATATTGGGTCTCTTCGCGGTCTCTGGAACTTACCGGTGCTCGCCGGCATATTTCGGCTGGAAGCGAACACAATGAAACTCGCAAAGAGCTTCGGGAAAACTCCGTGCTAGTCTGAAGAGAGACCGCGAATCCTGGTGGTGTCTTCGTGCGTCAGAGATGGAAGTAGCCGGTGCCCTTGTTAACCATCGAAAGTTATTCCGTCTGATACGGGAAAAGGGTAGCAGGAGACCTGGTGGTAATGAAACAATTTGTGACGAGTGTGGACAGCCTATCCACAATTTGTCAAAACGTTTGGAGCGTTGGGCTGAGCATTTTGAAAAGCAAATTAATCGGCCGGAATTGTTCGATTTCTCACCGGCCAGTGATCGCCCTGCTCCTTCGGCTGTCCCTTTGATCCGCCCTCTCGCTCAGAAGTCGAACGTGAGATCGGACTGTTAAAATTGAACAAAGCCGCGGGACTAGATGATCTTCCTCCAGCCCTCTTCAATTTCGGGGGCCCTGTTTTTGTTGAGGATACACACAGATTACTCCTGAAACTGTGGGAGCAGGAGACTGTCCCAACCGACTGGAGCCGCTCCGTTATTGTTCCTATCTTCAAAGGAAGCTCGCTTTCGGAATGCGGCAACCATAGAGGAATCAGTCTGATCTCCATCGCCTCCAAATTACTTGCCTCTGTAATGCTTCATAGACTGACTGGCGCTCGTGAAAGCCAGATTCGTGAGGAGCAAGCCGGGTTTCGTCGGGATGGTGGCTCCACCACCCACACCTTCATTTTATGTCAATTGTTGGAGCACCGTCACACATATTGGCGGCCCACCGTAGTCGTGTTCCTCGACATCAAAGGTGCCTTCGATTCGGTGTATAGACGTACACTTTTGGACTGTCTACTCTGAAAAGGTGTGCCCGTGAAATATGTAAATATTATTCGCGCATTATACGCGCGTAGCTCAGACAGAGTGGGGGCATACGGCAAGCTGTCGTCGACCTTCAATATCTCCAGCGGTGTGAGACAAGGATGCTCATTGTCACCTTTTCTCTTCACTTTCGCTACTGACGAAGTCATGGAGATTGCATTTACAGGGCACGACTTAGAAGCTGCGGAGCTACTCCCAGTAGAACGACTACTTGACTTGGAGTATGCAGACGACATTGCCCTCATCTGTGACAGCTTCCAAACGTGGCAAGCGGCACTGGACAGATTAGCACTGGCTGTCAGTTGCTTCGGGCTTTGCTTCGCACCCTCGAAGTGCAAAGCGTTCCTCCAAGATTGGTCTGGACCGCCTCCTATGCTGACTCTTGGTGGGGATCAGCTAGAAGTCGTTCGGAAATTCAACTACCTGGGAAGTTGTATCAGCGCCATTGGGATTGAAGACGAGATCACCAACTGTATAGCAAAAGCTCGAAGTGCTTTTGCTAGTCTTCTCCACCTATGGCGGCGGCGCGGCATCACTCTTGCCCTGAAGGGTACGTTCGACCTTACTGTACGGTTGCGAAACCTGGCCCCTTAGATCAGCAGACATGAAGAGGCTAATTACGTTCGACCATCGATGCTCCCGCAGTTTGGCTCACATCTGGTGGGAACACCGCATGAACAACGAGCGTGTTCGACGCCTTGTTTATGGCACAGCTAAAGGAACTCAACTGCTCAGCACCGTCATTTCACGCACCAGTTTCCAATGGCTCGGCCACATGTTGCACATGTCAGCCCACCGACCCCGGCAACGTGCGTTGGTTGCGCGCCGGGGGTATGGATGGAAGAAGAGGAGAGGTGGCCAAGCGATGACATGGTCGAGAGGAATGGAGACCCTCACTTCGAAGCTGGCCTCGTTTGGAGGTTCACGGCTCCCTTATTGGGGACCAAAATACGGTGAACACGTTTTGCTAAATACACTTGCTGACATGGCAAGGAGGCGACCTCAGTGGGGTTCCCGTTCTGAATCTCTTTGTACCTTCCCATCCCTTTTAGTCTCCTCCTCCGACCACGATCTCATTTCTTAGCATAATATAATTTTACATCATAATTTTTCTTGTTGCTTAGTAGCCGGCTGGTAGCTTTCCGGAACGATGCCCATCCGTTGCTGGTTGCTCAGTTGGCATGCAACTGTTGTATTTATTTTCTTTTTTCTTTCATGTATTGTGGCACAGTAGCTGAACTGTTTTACACCTCTAGCTATCGTGTATAATGATGAAGAGAAGCAGATGGAAAAGAAAGAAGGGAGACGCCATCAGTAGCATGTTTTCGCTTATCCACTCTGCTGTATACAGCAGATAAGGCGACCCTTGATAAGCTGCGCCACGTCCGATGAAGGATATGGTTGAAGTTTGAAGAACTAGTCGTGGTTGTACGTGGGCTGAGATACTGCTAAGTCGTCCAGTCCGAGACAGGAGGACGATTAGGTTTCTCAGTCAAAACCTTTGGCTCGAGAGCCTGTCCGCAAGGCAGTGGGGAGTTGGCAAGGATTTTGTTTTACAGAACTGGATGCCATCCCATTTCAAACCACCAACCTGGAGAAACAGGAAACTGAGTTTGTTTGACCTCTCACCAGTGGCCAATCTGGTAGGAGTAGCTACACACTTTATCAACGCAATGACTGCTGATACACTTTTTAAATAATCCGTGCTGATGGGGATTCACAACAAAGGAAGATTTGTTCGGTAGTTTTGGTAGATACTTGATGCCAATGGCACTTGTGTTTTTATAATGCATCTCTTGATTCCTTACAACTCACCATGCCAAATGAGTATAGAACGCAATTTCCATGAGGTTTGACCAAACAGGAAGACTCCTGCGACTTGTACCGTATCCACTATCGTTGAACCCAATGTACTACCGTTAATCCATGTGTGAAACAAATCATGAGGGTCGATTATTCCTAATGCTTCGAGGTGCGCACAATATAAGGGAGCGAAAAGTTCACTTACTACAATAGATTGCCTCGGAACTGGAGCTTGCTTAATGTGGAACCATTGTAAACAATTGGTGGAACATGTAAAAACGTGGTACGCTCGTGCAATACACTTCACGGATATGCAAACTACTGTAATTTCACTAATATAAGTGTACTTGCTAATCACCAGCGTTGTTGCTTTAAAGCATCGTGGAGTCGCCTGACACAATACAGATCCCCTAAAAGGGACACACTAGGTCGTTCTGTCTGAAGTGTTGCGAAGGGAAACCATATCACTGTCCCTTCATTTTACGCTGGGAGCAGATCATAAAGACTAATGCTAACTCGTGCCGACTTCGCTGTCTTCCACGGCGCTTCTTGCGTTGATGGACCGCGTGACGATTTGATTGCCATCGGTGTCGCAAAATAAGGAACATCTATTTACAAATACCGTGGGCAGGAACTGAGGCGCTGTTCCCCTGAATACTGTGTTAGTCAACTTAATACATTTGGCGTGAAGTAATTTAGCTTTTCGAACCATGCACCTTTACGGGAGAAGGGCAAACAAATCTGATGACGTCTTCTGATGGGTTGTTTCGTGACGCGCAATGATCAGGCACTACCTACGGTCGAACACAATTTGCAGTTGTGATACTTTTCATTGAGCCCTTAAGTTACGACGTACTTACGTATTCGGCCGGTACCTGAGTGGTCTGCGCGCCTGGTTTGCAACCAAGAGGTCACCGGTTCGAATCCGCGTATGGGTGGGCGTCTTCGCGGTATACTCAGCCCGCGCACAACTACCAGTGGTCGCGTGACAACGAAGCGCCGTTACGGCTTGCACCTGGCGATGAGTATTTATTTATTTTGTATTGTGTATGCAATGCTTGTCGGTACACATATCAATCGCTCTTGCGTGGGCGCTGCACCAGTCCGCAGCGCCATCCAGTTAATGCCTTTGGAGTTCAAAACTTTCGTTACTACCTTAACCGTTTCACATCTGATGCAGTGCCATCAACCGCCGGTTACTACGGTACATCGTGCAATGTAATGCACATGCCGGGACAATTTGTTGTCGTGCGGACTATCTCGGTTGGTCTAGGGTGGAACATGAGTTTCCTGAGGAGAAACTTTTAGCCCTTTGCATGTAATTGATAGGAAAAATGTATGGACATTGAGCATACAATAGAATTTGATAATGTCGAACTTATTATTATTTTGCGATTAACGCCCAGTGCTTAACTATAGAGGCGGTGGGAACCGCTAGGTCTCAGCTGCGTGGGCAAATGGATGGGATGCTGCTTGGTGCATGAAGAGTTGTCTTGACTCGCTCTCTCTGATGAGTTTGGGTTGACGGAATCGAGTTTTAAAGAGACCACCTTACCGTTCCCATCCTACTCATCTACTTACATTTACCTGTGGTTACTTCTTACCGTGGACCTCTTGGAATCTTTCCCGTACTTAAAGGTGCACTTGAGAAAACATGTCGACGGTAATTACTGTCCAACACCTTTCTCGTCTGCTGTGATTATTTCCCTAGTTTGTTGCAAATGCCACTCTAATTATGTACCAGTTCCTGCCCTGAATGGGATTTTTTTACCCAAGGCGGTACGTTCCTAACCGATTGTTTTTAAGCCCTCATGACCTAATGTATTATTGACTGGTTCCGAGCTTACTTTGTCGAAAGTAACACATTATGCGCAATGGGGCTACTTTCACATTGTTTTACTTTTGTGTTACATTGACCGACTGGTGAATTGCAGCATACTTTCTATTCTATCTTCCTCCGTAGGAACTTTCGGATCTATTGGACGTCAGGAAAGATGATCCGGGCGGACAAATCTTAACGTTAGAGGACTCTGTGGACTCTCCTCTTGTGGACGATAGTTTTGTTACCCAACGCCGAGCATTGCTCCGGGATATAGAACGTTATGGTTACTTGGTTTTTAACAAGCACTGGTTCCATCGTCTCGAACCCGTTGTCGTGGAAGATCTGCTCGTAACTCGAGGCTACCAAGTGCGTGATTGTTTTACATTAGGTGATTCTGTCCGTTTCCCTTGAGTATTGCTCCTCCTAGCCGTGCACATTGAAGTAGTCTTTGTACTTAATTTACACCCAGTTCTCCAAGTACTCATTTAACATACAGAAATAGGTTTCATTGTAAGGACATCTCACTTTGTGTACTACAGCACCAGCACGATTGGTTCATTTTCACCCCAAAGTGATTCAACAGCAAAATATCTTATCAGTATGGACGCTGTGTATCTTAACTTGTTTTCTACACTGCTGCCGCACTGAATCAGCTTGTACTCGCAAGTGTCAGCGTTTTCTACCATCATTGCAACTAATCCGAGATATCCAGATGGTGTACTGCCCTAAAGATGTAACCGCCATGCCTATGACCGGACCTTATGATACTCCGAGTTATCACGGGTAACACTTCAATTTTTCTTAGTCACCCGTACCAGACAGATCAATTGCTAGAACTCATGCGAACCTAGCTTCAGTAGACTGGATAGTGGTCAGATTGATATGGGGTTTGAACTCTTTGTATTGTTTGATAACTTCGGTTTATAACTTTGCTTACTCTCGCTTGACCATTGAGCAAAATGCTCGAATTTGAGTCTTTGAAGCAAATCCATTATCTGTCCCTCGCGTTTCACACCTGCGACGTATTATCTGTCAACAGGAAACTTTGCTGTTTCTCGTTCCTTTCCCACGTTTCAAATCTATTCCTTGCTTAATCGGTAACAAAAACCATCCATGATTTCGCAACTTGTGCTCATGGAGTACCTGAATCGTTTATGGAACCAAAAGTCATCATCCACAGTACGTACCTCAGTGTCCGCACTCCAGCTTGTATATTCCATTACTCGATATAATTTTTCACGGTTATGACAATCACCCAAAACATTCGCCTCGAAGATATGTCTGCAGTGCAAGGCAGCTATCGACAATACAGGTGATTTCGAAAGATTTGGGTGCGCCTAGTTACGATATGCAAGCTAGAACCCCAACCACTTATCAATTCGTAAACAAATGAGGACACCGCTCGTTATATCTCATCAGGTCGAAAAGGTAAGCAAATAGTCACCGCAGTTTAACGCCTAGTCCGCTCGCAACTTTCAGAAGAACCCTTTATCCCACGACTGTCGAAACTTCTGCGTTCTTTATTCTTCCGAATTTACTCTGTAACATTTCGTCTTAAATTGTTCACCTATCTCGCATGCAATCCATCACTCGGGGAAATGTTCATGCCTCTTGCTTTTATCCGGATTTGAGGTTTTTGGATATTTCACCCATACCTATCCTCATGCCTTTGTTTCGTTCCGGTCGCAAATCTGGGCTTTTCCTTTTCGATGACACATGTCTACCTCGTTCAAACAAGCTATTACCCTTTCTTATTCATCACCGTATGTGAAGCTACAGTGTGATTTACGCTCCCACACGCCAAGTATCTTTTAGTCACTGCCAAACCAAACCGGGGACGCACTAGATCCGGTCAATCTCGCTTAAAGTCCATCGTGTGGTTTTGTTGCGTGTGGCTGCGGCAGCACATCCGACTGTTGTATCCGACAAGTGCTTAAGGTATCGCATGTAATCAGAGCTTACGGAAGCGTAGTCGATGTCCACGACCGGCAAGTTGATCACCGGCGGTGGCGAAAGCAAATACAATTCAGCCAAAGCGTATTTGTAGATCTGCATATAAAGGTAAACTGTTTACCATGATGCTGACATTTGGTCCGACCTTTCGACTGGGAAACATCTTTCCTGCCCATCGATTTTGCCTAACGGTTGCACAGTTGTGTATTCTAACATCCGCCATGACATAACCCATCTTACTCCACAAAGTGAAAGGGTTGCGTATGACTCCATGCATACAAAGTACACTCACCCTGAAGACGGGAACCTTGCTAGCAATATTTCACAAGACCGGAGATTTTTCTACAATATTACAATGGCCTGAAGGGACCATTAGAATTAAACATATACAAGTCATGCAACTCAAAAAGTAGGAAGAAATGCCATGTAAATGGATTTCAAAACAAATAAACTCGTTGCTCTTTGCCGTAGAACTAACGACAGCTCTTCTATTTTAACGGGCTCTTAGTTGAATGTAATTAATCCTTTCGTAAACCACTCGTCATTTTTGCAGCCTTTAATGCCTACTTCGTTGCCTCTGATTTGTGAATCGGATCCCATATCTGTGTACCTCGGCAGAAAATGGGTAAAGTTTGTATCCGTCTACAAAATCTATTGTATTTCCACTGACAGTATGAGCAACCGATATAGCTACTCGGGTCACGGTCCTGAAGACAGATCCCTCTAGCGAAAACGTATGTGTAATACAGGGTAACAATATGTGCAGCCAAAATATGTCAAAATAAATAGTTCATGATAGAACGACCTAGTTGCAAGTTCCTGAATTCTAGCAACTACTGGGTGCGCGAAATCTCGCTTGCTGGCTGTTCAAGTAGTGCGCTCACTGGAGAACTTCAAGATTGGTCATTCTCAATAGTCCATTACAAGGCAGAACAATACCACTGGCTGACTCTCGTTGGTTAGCCAACTAGCTTCACGCGGCATGGGGCAAATTTGCTCCGGCCTGCTAGCTATAGGCCTGGCTTCGAGTGTTGCTACGGTCGGGCTCCTTTAACCACATTATCGTCTTGCAGTAGGGCATTTAATTCTAAGGGCGCCTAAAATTGTGGCACAAAATCCCTTACTTTCGTTGATGTCACCTTGAGAATCTATGGGCCTTGTCAAACATGTGCTTTTTCAGTCGCCATAGATCATTGAAGGTCACCGAAGGTTAAGCGTTTCTGCCCTTCTCGCTGTGATTGAAGTTCCATAACACAGGTAGCACACAAATCTCTTGTTCCCAAACCGTCTGCACTATATTCCCCCCCCCGATCCCCCCTATCGAACATGTTTTACATTCACACCACAGCTTTGACCTGGGGGATATTCGAATGAGCCAACAACAGATCACTAACTCTAAAGGCCTCGTCATTATTCTGATACATTGGACGATGATTTTGTTTGCTCGGCCTTTTCGTTTCATTGATCCATGGTTGCTCACTGCTTGTCATTTTTGTTCCAGGATACTTCATTGATGGATCTTTTGCGGGCCATTCGCAATAAACGAAATCACCTTTGGCATCTTCCTGAACATGTCAGAAGTGTGCTTGGTCAAACACAAGAAGGCATGGCTCGCTACTGGACGTCACGGTTTCCGGCCCTCGTTCCTTTGCTCTATGGTGCTAGTCGTTGTCATCTCACTGGATTTTGCGTCATGGCCGAGTTTTTGCCTCCTACGGAAGCAGTGGGACGAATACCAAATATTTCCGACGGTAATTTTGCTCCAAGTATACTGTGTCCCGTAGGACAAGTTAATTTGGTGGTATTCCCTGCTACTAGCCTTATTCTCTACAGATTTGGTTGTTTTGTTTTAATTCATGCGTCGCTAAATCTCTGGATAGCATTATCCTGAAATCCGCTAGTTCCCTCTAGTGACAGCTGCCCGAGATAAAAACCATTTGACAGCGCCTGAGCCTCCAGCCCAGCTCATCACAGTGTTTACTGCAAATTCTTAATTGAACATTCCATGCACATCCGTATCTTTTGTATTCGCGTACCATTGCTATCAACATAAACAAATATGAACGACTTTCAGTATTCAGGACCTAAACAATTTTGGGCCACTCGTTTACCCCTTGTGATTTCAGTTATCACGGTGAATAACGACGTTCCGACGCCAATGCCCTTCACTAACCCGCTGCTTCATCGGTCTATTACTGGATCCAGTACGCCGATAATAAATCCTATCACGCGCGGCTGATACTTCATTTGGCAATTCGCCACTGATTTACTTAGGTTTTGTAACTTTTTCGGGACCATTAGCTTCTGTTATAAAAGGAGTGACCACGTTCTCTTGTCGTTTGACCCTTTCCCGGTATCAGATGTATAGTCATCAGTACTCGTTAGCTGAGGGCGAGAAATACGCCTCAGCTAATGTGCTGCAATGCAAAAAAAGATGAGATAAAACACTGTAGGCTTAAAAGCTATCAAAGTAACATAATGCCAATATCACATTTTTGATGGTTGTTGGAATGGAAAGCTAAAGGGAAGGATAGGGACAAAGAGCCTCACAACACAAACGCCACTGAGGTCAGATGTATCATTTACCGAGATAGCTAGATCTACTTGAATTCACACCGTCTGTAAGATGTTAACCGCCTGTGTTGTTTGAGACACGGTTAACTTGTTATGTTCCTCTATCTACTTCAGTAATCAGTGAATGGTGGTATGTCCCCACGCTGGACGGAGTATTCTGCACAGATGGTGCTGGCGCGGAGGACGGTCAAGAACTTTCACTCGGTCATGTGCGCAATCAGGCGTCTATTCAATACCAAGATTCAGTAAGTCATTCCTCTGCATTGGGCCTACGATGAGTTATTTTCATACCATGAAAGCCGCATTTCTGCTTCCCACTTGGTGTCTCGTGTTGATCAGGTAAGTATTCTCGGATGGCCACCGCACAGATTGGATGACCCCTGTTTTTGATTCTGTGAAGGGTATGCACTACCATTCAGGCGTTCAGCGATGTCTGTTCCTCTGTAGCTCGGTCCAACATTTCTGGATAAAGTTCCGAAACTCTCTGAGCGCTTGTCGCTGTTTCCCACACATTCATAGTCCCTGACGTCGTTGCTTCTGTCCAGATACCAGACCATCCTTCATGGTAGATCATGGGCCGTCCGCCTTTGTGTTGCGACGTAATCAATAGGCAGTAGTGAAACGTTGCATTTAAATAAAATTTTCCATGGGGATTCAGCTCAGCCACAGCACATGAGGAAAAGCGCTGTTTGTAGACACCGGTGCATATTCCATTTTCCCTTGTGTTGCTAGAACCAGCGACTCGAAGCATGCGCGTCAGTGGTCGAAGGTTTACCGGTTTGGACAGTTGGCGCTACTGAGTCATCACCATCAACAGCAGTGCATCAGCCATTTGAAATGATGCTTCGCTGCCGTGTAACCACTGTGACCTACGGATCTAAAAATAATAAAAGGGAGAGAATGGCGACCTAATGCAAAGCCTTAATGCTCTTAGCGAACATTCAGGGTCAAAGCGCCTACACCTTGTCAACATCATATCTTCACCTACAGCTGACTATCGTGTAAAGATAAGGTGACATCGGCGAGACAGCCTCATTGCGTCTTTCACTGCCCGGCGTCATAATCAGCTACTACCCCGCGGATAACCCAACAGCGAGCACTTTAAACAGGCAGTCCGACTAGAAAACAGCAGTAGACGTGGCGCTGGTGCCGACCGCCAGCCATGTGCTGTCATCCCAATCCAAGCACAAGACGAGTCACGTGAACTCCAGCCTGGAAGGCGAGGCGGACCGACGGCACCGAGTTGAGTCGTTAGTGAGTTCCTTTCCCACTGCGAAGTTAATTTTTTCCCACCCGTGTCTTTGCGTCACCCTTCATCTGGTAGACAAAATAAAACCATCGTTGATTAGCGATGACCGGGCATACATAGTATCTGCCCCCAGTCAACGCAACTTATTCAGTGCTATCTATTGTTCCAAAAGACTAGTCTTCTTATCACCGCCTAACATTTTGCTGCGCACATCATCGTTGCGGACACCAGCTGTGCTCCGAAGGCAGCGATGATCAGAGACTTGAAGGCGCTGCAGGTCCTCAGGTCAACGGGGCCAAGTCTCACTCCCATAGAGGCCTTATTTCACCTGGGCATCATGGTAGGTTTACCTAACCAGGAATTTAGATAACTTCACTGTGGCCATTCGAAGGGATGCTTGATACACCTCCCGATCATGCTCATGGAAAAAACGACATTGGACGCTAGTATTTCAAAACGAGCGACAATCCAGCATGGAAATCGCGCCACCTGTAACTTATGGCAACTTAACATATTTGGATCCACCGCTGGCCAATTCTAGGGGGACGCCAAGTAGCATTTCAGCACTCACTGCGTTTAAAAACAGTGCTACTAAGCAACAGACAGTTCCAACAGACGCTCGCCGGTGTCCGTACGGTCGGAGTTAAGTCCATACTTACCACCTATCTACCTTCAGCATAGCTCAGACAACCTACTTGCGCATTCATCTCTCCTGAAACAACGACGATATCTGAACTGGTTACAATGCGTAGTAGCATGTTCAGTTCTTAGTAGCAAGTGACCCTGGCAACATCAAAACTGCAGTCGGTGAGAGCACAAGGGGAAACCATAAACAAACATCGTCTTGTGCTACTTGAATCAACCTTAGTTGATGTCGTCAGGCGGTATACACACAAACGACTGTCCACGGGAATCCAATCAACCAACGATGACTCCTCCTTGAAGCTGAGAACAATGTCCTCTCCACCTTGACCATTGATTGCCGCTTCAGCGTCTCCGGTTGCATGCGCAGTTAATGCAACAACCCCGTGAGCATCATTGGTGCTAGTCTCGGACACAATACACGTCAGTACCCAGTGTGTCCAACGTGCGTGCGAGTGTAGCCTGTTGACCTAAGTACCTGAGGGTGCGAAGGTTGAACGCCGGCATGGATGTGGGACAGCGTTGTCTTATAAGAGGCGGTTGCGGCTAGTCATCCAGTGGGTGGTGCGGGAAGATGGTTCTGATCCAGTGGCATTGCGGGTGCTGTCCATTAAACTGGGAACTATGGCAGTAGGGTTAGTAATGGGGGCCGGAAGGGGAGTAAGAGAAACACGCAGCATCAGTAGTAGCATGTTTTCGCTTATTCGCGCTGCCGATGTGGTTGAATGTGGTTGTGCGTGGGCTTAACTACTGCCATGGCACCTAGACCTATATAGGAGGACGATTAGGGTCCTCGTCCAAAGCCTTTATTTCAAATTCCTGTCCGCAAGACAACAGAGAGGTGGCAATGCTTTGGTATTATAAAGCAGTGGGTCCCCTTCAGCCATTTTGTTAAGGCAGAGAGAAGACAGAGGTTGCGATTTGTCAACATTTCGATTGTTCTCTTCAGTCACATTCACAATACGACCAGAAACACACAAGGGATTATATACATGGAAAGAAAAAAGCACCACCAATCAAAATGTCACAGTCAAGACCATGACAACCGAATTGATTGCCTCAAGAGTTTCTGTGCTTATCAATCTGTGCTATGTGCACAGAAACTTGAGGCAATCAATTCGGTTGCCATGGTCTTGACTGTGACATTTTGATTGGTGGTGCTTTTTTCTTTCCATGTATATAATCCCTTGTGTGTTTCTGGTCGTATTGTGTTTGTGACTGAAGAGAACAATCGAAATGTTGACAAATCGCAACCTCTGTCTTCTGTCTGCCTTAACAAAATTTGGTATTACAAGATTGCACGCCATCCTATTTCAAAACCCCAACCTGGAGAGCCATGAGACTAAGTTTTTCTTTCATCTGGCCATTTACCAACATAATCAGAGTACCTCTCGATGAACCCGGGGACACCACCCAGCATAGCTACATGTGTCAAAGAAGTACACAGGCCCTTGCATCACGTTGGAGTCCATTCTTGTTGCGACGGAAATAGCTTCAGCAGTACGCCGGTGTACAGTATCGACCTTTCGTTGCCTTGCAGCCACCACCAATCGCTCATGGGCTAAGGATATTTCGAGAGTTGCCCGTGACCCCTAGGTTGCAAAGTAGACGCCTTGTCCTTTCAGCCACGCGCTGGCTTCTGAGTCCCAGTTTAGTCAACCGATACTCTTTGTTCTTTCGTAGCAGTCAGTCTATAATACCAGATGTCCTACGCGAACCAGTGCTGGAAATCAACACGCAGTCACCGAAGCGGTAATTTGCTGATAAGTATGATAAACATAACGTTCGTTCACACGGCCAACAAAAGACCATTTCGCTGAGATCATATGCAGTTGTGGAGAAACTTATAAGACCGTTTGAGTGTGGGCATTGTTTATGTGAATCAAGGGAACGAGCAGCAGAACGCGTTCCACCCACAACTGTTTGCGCCCGCTTTGTCTTTACTTAGCGGAAGCGAAAGTATTCACAGCACCATTCTTAACCGACGAGTTCTTGCGCCTCGTTTCTGCAAGGTCCCGAATTGTCTTGCTATTGTAGGGTATGAAGATGCGTGAACCGTGTGCCAAATTACGACGTAAACGTATTATTGTAAACATCCGTCACAATGATTGTCACAATTGTTGTGACATGGTGGCTAAAGCGGTCCCAGTGGCCTCTGTTTCGAGGCGTACTATCTTCTCCTCCTGATGAGATCACATAGGCTCAAAACCGATGGTTGCGTGCAATGTTTTCGGGCGGGCAACACCCAGTATCTAGCTGGTTCATCAGTTACAGTCTAAGTGATCGATTTAACCAATGTTCATCTATGAACAATGTTTTCAGCAACTTCATGTATGGTCCAAGGCCTAAGCACTATTCAAATTAGCTGTGTTTGTCCGAATGTCCCGGCGTCTACCGAAATAATACTCATGATAAACGCAAATCGTTGGTCGGAACCGCTTTCGAATGTATGAATGTACGTTGTTAGTATGAGATGTTTTGTGACATCACACCCCGCCTTTAAGTGTCGTACACTTTAAAGGATTCTCTCATGGTAAACACATACAAGTCGGATATCTCAAGTTTGGCGAGCCTCAGTGCCGAAATGTGCTTAGCGGAGGCTGGGAATATATGATCCCGGTTGTTGATGATTATCGGATGATGCATGCTATTTAATACTGTGAGGAATTCCGAACGCACAAAGCGTGCTACAGTTTGCACCTGAGCACCTACACCGTAATTGTAAAATTTTGGTTGTTAGTTATAGGTCATTCTGTTCGTGTCGCATATTGCTGCGTCCATTACGTGTGCTTTGGAGTACTTGGTGGTGTTTAAATTCGACTTGTTTTATGTTAATGCCGCTAACGTGCGGGACTCCGAGATGAATTTGTTCCCTTTTTACGATGAAGAGTGTTGGTTACTTGCCTCACGATACCGTTGTACCTCTTACAACGAAGCTTCATACGTTATCGTGCAAGACTACACGACGTGGGAAAGTGGCCTGTTTTGTCCACATGCTCCCTTACAGTGGAGATCAGTTGGGTTTGAGAGTGGTCTTGCCCTGAAGCATCAGGATTTTGTCGACCGCGCACCTGCTCGATGTTGGCTACCTCAGATGTAGAGTCTGGGAAAATTCTCAGTTTCTTATTTAATCGTAACCTACTGGCGTTATATTTCCCCCACGAAGCAAGGGTCCGTCCACAGATTGTAGTAGTGAATCCTTCCATAAATCCTTCACTTCAAGGAGGACTTGATTCCCAAATGGGTTTCATGGCGAGGCGCTGGATGATATGCGCTGAAGGTTCTCGTATTACATATCTAGTAATTGGATAGAGAGTGAACGTTAGCGCTCTAGTCGGTCCTCGGATGGCTGGA